GGGTCAGGCTGGGCCATATGGAGGCAACCAAACACGCCCATTACGACCCGCTCCAACGACAAAGGTGAGTGTTTTAGGCTGAAGGGGACGGGACCTCCTGTATGCCCCTAACTGTGGCAAGAGGTCGATGTTTCGCACAGGGCGGTTCACGTGGGCCGGCCCATTTGTAGGTGCAGTGGCACCGCATGATCGACGTGAAAAAACGCCAGAAAGAAGAAGGCTACCGCCGGGATTCGAACTCGCATCCACAAAATGAGTTGCGCGTTGTGCTAACCATTGCGCCAGACACGTCGTTGTTCTAAAGTGGATTCGTGACGCTTGAAGAACTAAACGATTGCGGCAAAACAAAAACACAACTCTGTGTAGGGGACCGAACCAAGGAGCTCTTGCTCCTTAACAACGTCACAAGCCACCATAACTACTCAGATTTGATGTCTAAAATAGCAGCGAGTGTGTGTCAACTATAAGCCACAAAGACATAGCTTATTTCTAAATATTGAACGTGATTTTCTTTTTTAAAAGAGTAAATATTTTTTGAAATGTGAACATTTTCTAATTTTGAACAATATTTTTAAAAATTCAAAATTTTGTGAACACAAAACATTTTTTTAAAAGGAACAATTTGAAAGGGAGAACAAAATTTTAAATTATGTACAGTTTTGTGGAATCCAAACATTTAAAAAAACAGGAACAAAAAATTATAACCGGAACATTTTTTGAAATTATGAACAGTTTTTCAAAAACACAAACATTGAGTAATTTTTCTATGATGTCTAAAACACAAATTTTGAGTAATTTTCTGAACATACACTTTTTTCACAAATGCAAACAAAAATATGAAAACAAACAAATTTTGAATTTTTCAAACTTTTTTGAAAACAAGAACGTTTTGGAATTTCTGAAAAAAATTAAACCAAGAACATTTTTTGAATCTTGATAACAAGGGAGAACAAATTTCGAAGCATGAACATTTTTTGAATCTTGAGAACAAATTTTGACACGCAGAACAATTTTGAAAAACCCCGAACAAATTTGGTAGCATCAATTTTTTTTAATACATGAACAAAAAATTGAAATCCAGTACATTTTCTGAATTTCAAAAGTTTTGAACTTTTTTTGTGTAACGAGAACAATTTTTGAATTATGAGATCGTTTTTTAGAAATAGAACATTTTTTCGAAACACGAACAAAATTTGAATATTTTGGAAAAAGTTTGAAAAAATGAGAGGAACAGAAATGAAAAAAAAAACAAAAAAAAATTGTTGAAAAGAGAAATTAACTTGAAAAGGAAAACTGAAAGAAAACAGAAAAGTAACAAAAAGATAAGAAAAAAGAACGAGAAAATGGAAGAAGAAAAAAACAGAAAGAGTAAACAAAGAAAAAGGAAAGGAAAAATAAAAAACCGGTTCAGGAACCTTCTAGATGGTCCCCAAAACCAGTAAGAACCGGCTGGGAACGCTCTAGAAGGTTCCCAAAACCTGAACCTGTATGTACGCTACAGATGGGCCGGCCCAAATTGGTGGCACATGCGGGTCAAATAGGTTTTCCCGGCAGCGACAGCTCCACCATGTTCCTGAACATATGAGGACACGGTTGCAGAGCCAGATCCTTGCGGATCTCCCTCCGTTCGCCGGAGCCGGTGGCCGCGGGCATCTTCCTGTATCCGAGAGGATGATGACGCGAGGGCAGCGGCGGCGCTGGGGCCTTGTTGATCCACTGGGTCCTTGCTTCGGATCTGGCGACCCGAGGAAGCGACCGTAGCTAGATCTGCGCGCCTGTACCGCCGCCGGTTCCTCTACCGACGGCGCGCTTCCCGCCAGCCAACCGTTAGCCCACTCTGGCAGGCAATGCTCTGGCAGGAGGGACTGGGCCAACCTGACGACCGAGCTCCTCGATGACATCGCCGCCCGGCTCCTCTCCCTCAACGTGTCGGAGTATCTTCGGTTCAGGGCTGTGTGCAAGCCTTGGCGCGAGCTCACCGAGGACCCGCGAGCACGGGACGTCCTTGATACCCGGTTCCGCCCCCACGGCTGGTTTACGCTGTTAAAGCAAGGGGAGCCTCCCTCGGGCCGGCGCCTCCTCAACACCTTCACCATGGCCCGCGTCAGACTCGACCTCGAGATATTCTGCACCTCCCACCTTGTCAGCGTCGTCGACGGCCTGCTCGTCATGTGCGACAAGGCAAGCAACACCGTCCGCCTTCTTCACCCGTTCACCGGCATGCTCGCTGAGTTCCCCGACATCACCAATGTACGGTCCTACGGTGGCGCAGAACCGAATGCCCGGCTCGGCATGGATGCCTTCAAGGCCCACTTCCCTGGCCTTGGCGCTGATCCAAATGCCTACCTCACCACGGATGACTACAAATCTGGCTACCCTGCCACTAAGACGGTCATGGACTTTGCCAGCATCGATGACTCCACTTCCCCGCCGACCCTCCACCTCTGCGTGAAAAATGGGTCATGGCTAGTCATCGGTGCCAAGCCTGGTGATGAGCACTGGGTCTCCCTGGATCCTTGCCATGTGAGGGGCAACACACGGACCATGTTGCATTGTGCTCTACTGGTGAAGTGGTGATTGAGTGCCCAATTCGTGTTGACACTAGTTTATTAGTATTATGTGTGTTTTGTTAGCTTGTTTCCGATTCTGTTTCCAATAATTTATAATGTGTGTGTTTTCTTCACATGTTTGTGGCATTGTCCAAATGCTATAGATCTCTAGCACATGTTCTGATCAAGATTGTTTTCCCAAGAGGATCCGGAATGCTGCTAGCAGTTCGGGGTGTTGCAAGATGATAATCCATACAGAATCACCGATAGAACACCCTCAGATTGCAAGTGTATCCAATCTATAATTGCTGGCATGGTTTGTGCCACTTAAATCAGATTTTCTACTTGCCAAAGTTCATTATCTACTAGGCATTGACATCTTCCACTTCCTTCTTATGCCCTATGATCTTCTCGATATCAAGTGTATTTTTTTTTGCATTGGATATCAAGTGTATTTGTGTGATGCATTGTGTTGTTGTCGTAATCTAATTTATGGGACCACCCTTCGGTAAGCTAAGGCTACATTTTCATTTTTGCCAACGCCCACTTCTTAATTCAAGTGTAGATGTGTTTGCTTTACTTGTTTGCACATTGGATGCCTCGCGAATCAGTACTGAGAAGTTGATTTCTTTGTTAAAAAGACCGCTTGTCCAACGGAATTGGCAAAAAAGACCACCCTCAGATGACATTGACAAAAAAAACCACCCCACCCTGGCGGTAGCACTGTTTGCATGCATTGTTTGCATGATGGTACGTTTCATTTTGTCTACATTTTGTTTCGTTTCGTCTGACGAATAACGCAACATATTCGTATACCTCTGTTGTTGATTCCTAGACATGCAGTACACTATTTTTGTAAATAATAATTGTTCATTTACAAATGATAATACGAGCCTCCGTCACGGGCCTCATCGCCGACCTCATCGCCCGGCGGACCTGCTCCGCCGCAGACCTCATCGTCGGCCTCCTCGCGCCGACATCATCGCCAGGCGAATCTGCTCCGTCGCGGGCCTCCTCGTCGGCTTCCTCGCGCTGGCCTCAACGTCGGGGCGATGATGCGGCGCAAGTAGGCCAACGATGAGGCATGCGGCGGTGAAGGTACGCGAGGAGGCAGGCAGGCGCTGATGTCGGCTTGATGAGGCCCACGACGAAGCAGGTCTGCCCGACGATGATGTCGGTGCGAGAAGGCCGACGATGAGGCCTGCAGTGGCGAAGGCCCGGCGGACGATGAGGCCGACGCGAGGAGGCCGGCGATGAGGCCTGCGGCGGCGAAGGTCCGCTAGGCGATGAGGCCGATGCGAAGAGGCCGGCGATGAGGCTTGTGGCGTAGCACGTCCGCCGGGTGACTCGCCTGACGTGAGGAGGCCGACGATAAGACCCGCGGCGGTGAAGGTCAGCGGGGTGAATCACCCGACACGAGGAGGCCGACAACAAGGCCTACGACGGCGAATATTATCTGCAAAAACAGTGCATTGCACACCTAGGAATCAACAGCAGGGCCATATGAATTTGTGTCATTATTTCGTCAGACGAAACAAAATGCAGAAGAAACAATACACTGATGAAACGCCTAGGAATCAACAACAATGCCATACGAATTTGTGGCATTATTCCTCAGACGAAACAATACACAGATGAAACATCTAGGAATCAACGGTAGAGGCATGCAAATATGTGCCATTATTCGTCGGACGAAACGAAATGCAGACGAAACAGAATGTAGTAGCACGCAAACAGTCCTGCCGCCAGGCCATTAGGCGGCAGGGACCACATGCACTCTCCAATTCCGTTTTGGGCGCTACCTGGCTGGTATGCGCCTGCTGCCTCCTGGCCATGTGGCGGCAGGGGCTGCCGCCTACCGGCGTGGCGGCAGGTGCCACATGTCGGCTGGCGCGCCTGCTGCCACGGCTGGCGTTGTCTCTTCTGGTAATTTCATTCGAAGGTGGTCTTTTTTGCTAATACATTGAGCAGGTGGCCTTTTTTAACAAAAATTCTTGAGAAATGCACACGTTTATTTTTTTTAGTCTATTTCATACTTCCTTTGTCAGGTTGAGACACTTATTTTAAAACGGGGGAGTACTTCCTAACTAAACATTGTTACTCAACAATCGTGTTGGATGGTAAACAGCGATCCGATCAAGTGGGTTTAGAGTTGTCCTTAGACTTGAGACAAGCTTGGAAGTCGCAATGAATTTTGTTAACCGAAGTGAACTGTTGCAGCTGATGTGCTGCGTGGCATCTGCGTCCGATCTGTAGTGGCACGCGCGTTCGTTAATTAAATAAAAATTAAAGGGAAAGAAAAAGCAGTGGCACGCGTCCTTGGCAGCTACTCGTACTCGTTCCTACCTTATCTCTGCGCACATGGGCTAGCGGCACGGCAACACAGGTGGGCAGCCACCACGGCCACTGAGACGGCAGGAGGAAAGCGATCGGTGGGTGCACAAGCAAACCATGGCCGGAAGCACCCGGTATCCTGGAAAACCGACGTCCGCGCCCGCGTGTTTCGCCCCGTCCCTCCCGGCCTCTCTCCCGTATATATCCACCCTGCTCCAGCTAACAACTCACCAACGCAAGCATCCATCGCTTCAGCTCAGTTCTTCGACTGCGACTCACCAATCATCTACTGGGATCACACGCTTCACAGACCAACCTCCACCAACGCAGTTCACAGGTCACTTCATGGCGGCTGCAGCCAAGGCGTCTTGGATGGCGGCGATGAGCGTCGGCGCCGTGGAGGCGCTCAAGGACCAGGCCGGCCTCTGCCGCTGGAACTACGCTCTCAGGGCCATTCACGGCGCAGCCAAGGGCAAGGCCAGTATCCGCCGCGGTGCTGTGGTCTCGCAAGGCACGAAGCGGCCTCCGGCCTCTGCGGCGGCCGTGGCAGAGAGGCGGCGAGCGGAGAAGGCCGAGGAGGGGCTGCGGACGGTCATGTACCTCAGCTGCTGGGGTCCCAACTAGGCAGGGCCGGTAGCTGTGTGTGCTCTACGGTTTTGCTACTTGCCTCGTTGCATGTGGGTTGTACTGTAAATAGTATCACGATGATGATGAAAACATCATGATGATGATGAAAACTTTGTTCTGTCACCAGCTTGGCTTCAGAATTTATGAAGCACAAGATCCTAGACCGATTACTCCTGGTACTAGTTCTCTGATCCAAGTGACAGAATTGGGTGATAACAAAGTTCTCTTAGGCCTTGTTCGGTTGCGTGCGAATCCGAGTGGATTGAAGGGGTTTAAGGGGGATTTAAACCTCTTGTAAGTCAAAATACAAACCAATCCTTATCAATCCCCTTCAATTCTTTTGGGAAGAGGATTAACCGGACAAGCCCTTAGCAGTTTCGTGTTCCTAGCCTTGATTAAAGTTTTTTCGAACCATGTCCTTTTTGCACATGATAAAAATAATAACTGTAGCATGACTGAATCCGGTGTGAGAAAAAATATATTTACATGTACACACAAGTTTCTTGTAGATGATCAACAACAAGTGAGTTGAATTTTATAAAATAGAAACAATGTGAAAGTTTCCACGATTTGTGCAGCAGCATAGGCGTCTTTTTGTTGGGTGTTTGTTTGTCACGCGCGTTGCATAAGCAAGCACACATAAAGGCTCGAGAGCGTTGCATAAGCAAGCACACATAAAGGCTCGAGAGATTGGTCGAACGACAAGTTTTCGTATTATCTATCCGACGCTACTGGCTATATACATATACAATATGTAAGATCTCTTACAATCCCCTAGCATTTGAAATCAACTTCCACATGGTATTCTTCGACTTTATTGATGACGTGGTCAAGAAAGAATCCCGCCAATTCCTCTTGAATTGTTTTCATGCGATCTTGTTTTAGGAGTTCATTCCGCATCTGCCACGTCTAATTTGAAGAAGGGGGTTAATACATATATGAATGAAACTCAACAGAAATGATGGTGTAATAAAATGAAATTGTGAATATTATTGATTACGCACTTCATATTGTCTTTTAGAGTAGCCCCGCTTATTTTTCAAAGTCGCGTTGCAGATGAACTCGCACACGTAGTATCCACAGAAATTATTCCCCTCTTCCTGCCACAAGCACTTTACGAGAAATAGAGGTCAATCAAACTGATAATGAAACATTATAAATGGCATTGATGAAAGTATAGCTATAGAATCAACGGGAGATGCGCGCAACTAGCTAGCTAGTAGTACTTACTTTCGGGTATGTATATCGCAGCTCCTTCGGCAGTCCCGGAGCTTCTGCGGTGAACTGTTTCTAAACCCTGCAAGACAAAGAAAATAATTATTATTACTTGAGATATCAGGAAATGAACAAAAAGTTGCCGATATGGTGCGATAATGATCGATTGAACTTACTTGTTGAGCAATTTAGTCATGCCCGCATAGGTTTCGGAATCTTTTCGTCTCGAGTCTAAGACGGTTACTACTCCCCGCCCAAGCTTAATCTCCAGAAGAACATAGTGGAAGCTGCGCATGCATGCATAACTCATCAATTACATTACTATAACCTCGCTCGAGTAATAAGGGAAACCGAATATGCACACGACAGTAACACTCACTTGAAGTTGTAAGGAAAGAGTATTAAATCTTTGTTTTGATTTTTGATCAACGATTGTAGCAAGTTGGCCTCGGTCTCTTCGGCGTGCTTTTTAACCAGAAATTCATCTATGATATTTGTGTTAATGAACCCAATATCATACATTTCTTGTTTTTTGCACTCGACGATCTTCAATCTGCATAATATAGTGAGGATAATTAATTATAAGTACATGCAATGAAAGAGCCGAACTATATATAGAGACTTAATGACAGAAATAGTACTTACGGACAGTAGCAAAAGACCGTTAATTTATCAAGGGCCTTTTGATTGAAGAACTCCTCAAATGGAACAGTCAACAAATCAGTTCCAACAAGGTCGTGCTCCTCTTTAATTCTCAGATACAAAGTATTCGTCCCCCCAGACTCTCTGCAGGTTTTCATGTACCAATTATGGAATCTTCGCATCATCGTTGTTAGAGATTTTTTCATCTTTGACGAGAGGCTTCCCGTACTCGTATCTGTGTTCGTACACCTCCAAGAAATCAAAATGTACATCATCAGGCAGGTAATCTCCAAGATTGTTATAATCGGGCACCGTCCCCGGAGCATTAGCGACGATGTCGCTAGACACATTGAGCGGGGGGCACGATTGCTTTGCTTCGCCGAGCTGGGCATTTTTTCCCAACTGCTCGTTCTTTTAACCTTTGATCACTGACAGTACTTCCCGACCGGTTAGCTTCGAGATATGTCTTGGCAGTAATGCGCTCATAGTTGTTTTTCGGCGGAGACTTTGGTGGTTTCCTCAGGGCATCGATAGTGCGCTTTGCTTTCACTGGATCTACCTTCTCCTTCGGAGGTGGATATCTCTTTGCTTTCAACCCTTCAAAGAAGTCCTTCACTTCGGTCTGCACGATCTTCGCGTTTTCCTCCTCGGTCCTCTCATACAGTAACTTCTCTAGAGGCTTGAGAGAAGGATCGTATTTGTATTGCCTCCCGCCTCTGCTGGTTGTACTGCTAGACGCCGGAGCAGACGGAGCGGCTGCGGCGTCTGTCTTCTTTCGTGCTTGCTTATGAGGCGGAGGAGAAGGACTACGACGCGCCGGAGCATCCGGGGCGGGGGCGGGTCTCTTCCGCCCTTGCTGGCGAGGCGGAGAAGGAGGAGGCTACTGGCTACTCGGGTGCGCTGGCGCAGGCGGAGTGCCGCCACGCGCCGGAGAAGGAGGCCGAGTGCCCTGATCGTCACTCGCCGGAGGAGGAGGCGGTGGAGGAGGCGGAGTGCCCTGACTCGCCGGAGGAGGAGGAGGAGGCGTCCAGTTCGGAAGCTTGATGAACTCCTTCCGCCATAGGCATGGAGTCTTCAGAGCAGAACCTAGCCGAGTCTCCCCTTCATCGGTAGGGTGGTCAAGTTGGAGATCCTCAAATCCCTCCGTTATTTCGTCCACCTTCACCCTAGCATATCCTTCTGGAATCGAACGATAGTGAAGAGTTGCGCCGGGTTCAGAAGGTCGAACTTGGCCGACAGCCGCCTTGACTTTTAAGTTCTGCCATTGCGTCATAAGATGACAATTTTGAGACTCCGTGATAAAATCCATGGGGTAGCTAGCAGGAGCCATCAAGACATGCTCCGGCTGAAGCAGCTCGGTGGAAGCCACGCTGCTTCTCCACTGAAATGGCGGGGTAGCTTCGGGGGAAGCTTCGGCAGGTCATTTGCTGCGATATGCTTCTCGTTCCTCTAGCCCTTGTACCCTTGCGTGCAGCGCCTGCAGTTGGCTATGCTCCACTTTCTTCCTCCTCTCATGGCATTTGTAACCGCCTGCATCCGGAAAACCAACCTTCCATGGAATGGAGCCTGGCGTGCCTCGTGTCTGTCCAGGATGCTCATGATTCCCGAGGGCCATTGTGAGCTCGTCCTTCTCCCTGTCTGGAACGAACGCCCCTTGCTGCGCTGCATCGATATAGTGTCGAAGCCTATTGACTGGTATTTTCAGTTGCTCGTTCGTCCAACAGCACTTCCCTAATACAGGGTCCAAGGTTCCGCCAGCCCCGAAGAACCAAGTCCGGCAACGGTCTGGCCAGTTCATTGTCTCTGGTTCGATCCCTTTATCAAGCAGATCATTCTCAGCCTTGGACCACTTAGGCCGGGCTTTGAGGTAGCCACCTGACCCCGTGCGATGGTGAAACTTCTTCTTCGCAGCATTTTGCTTGTTTGTCGCTGACATCTTCTTACTTTTTTCCGATGTCTTGTGGGCTACAAATGCGGGCCAGTGATCTCTGATCTTCTCGTATTTTCCGATGAAATATGGTGTCTCTTCTTTGTCGACAAACTTTTTCAACTCTTTCCTCCACCTCCTGAATAGGCCTGCCATCTTCTTAAGAGCAAAAGACTTGATTAATTGCTCTATAACTGGCTTCTCCAGATCCTCCTCTGGCGGTAGGGTGAAATTTGCCTTCCGCTCAGTCCAAAGATCATCTTTCTGCATATCATTGACATAACACACCTCAAGGTCTTCCTCCTTAGGCTTATACCATTGGTGGATGCTGATCGGGATCTTGTCCCTAACAAGAACCCCGCACTGAGCAGAAAATGCGTTCTTTGTCCGGATGGGTTCAATCGGTTCGCCGTCGCGCGTGATTGCTGTGATCTCAAACCTTTCATCCGAGCTCAACTTTTGCTTCAGGCCTCGTCTCCTTACCGAAGTTGTGCTCGATCCGGAGGGCTAGGAAAAAGAAGAAAGACGAGAGTTAATTAATATGTGTACATATACCAAAACAATGAATGCATCAATTAGCTAGTCAGCACAGGCTTAACTAATATATATACCTGGCCAGACTCGGTTCGGTCACCGGAGCCGTCATCACGGTCTCCTTCTTGCACCGTCATTGGGTCACCGGAGCCGTCCTCATGGTCTCCTTCTTGCACCGGCATTGGGTCAAAGGAACCATCATAATAGCCTGCTTCTTCACCCTGTCCTTCCAGACCATCGGTGTCGTTCAAAAACGATAAGACTGTTGGGGTACGTTGCAGAAAATAAAAAAATTCTACGCTTCACCAAGATCAATCTATGGAGTCATCTAGCAACGAGAGAGAGGATAGCATCTACATACCCTTGTAGATCGCGAGCGGAAGCATTCAAGAGAACGGGGTTGAGGGAGTCATACTCGTCGTGATCCAAATCACCGATTATCCTAGTGCCGAATGGACAGCACCTCCGCGTTCAACACATGTACGGTTGGGGAAGACGTCTCCTCCTTCTTGATCCAGCAAGGGGGAGGGAGAGGTTGATGGAGATCCAGCAGCACAACGGCGTGGTGGTGGAAGCAGCGGTGATCTCGGCAGGGCTTCGCCAAGCTTCTGCGAGAGGGAGAGGTGGTACGGGGGGAGAGGGAGGCGCCAGGGACTAGGGTGCGGCTGCCCTCCCTCCC